CAGGGCAGGACAGGACAGGACTCGGAAGTAGTCTACCCAGCAAGGCCCTCCTTCTCTCTGCCTACTCTACCTGGCCTCGGCTCTGTCCTGATGGTTCTTAGCCCATCAGGCTAAGGGGAGAAAGAGTGGCTACTGGCACACTCTCTGTAGACAGACTGATAATATCTAATCTATGACATATTTTTGAAAAGTGCTGTAAAGGCTTGTGTGATTAATTAATTAAATATAAGATCTTAAAATGTTACATCATTGTGGTTCTTCCCCACACCCTGTATTTGCTTAATTAATGGTTCTTAAGAATACAGATTCTGCCTAGTTTTGGATGTTAAAAAATACTTGCGCACAAGGGCTATTATCAAGTGTTAAGAGGAATGAAAGAAATTTCTGGGGCATGAAAATCCTCTGTCATGATAATGGTTACACAGATAATGATGAGACAGGTGTGCAATAAGTGATAATTCATCAAACCATACCCACTTAAGATTTGTGCATTTTGCTGTGTACTAATTATGCCCTAATACAGAGGGAGTCTTTCTCCCCAGAATCCAGGCCATAAGGAAAATTTTTCCATTTGTAGTCAATGGAGAAAATATAAATATTTTAATAAATTTTTAAAAAAGCTAAACTTATTTAATTTAAAGGATCATCCTTTATATTTCCAATTTTTTTATGTCATTTACTCTGAAAATTAGTTCTACTGTTTATGTTACTACATGGCACTGTTTTAAAAAGCACAGTGATAATAAATAATTTTTTTCTTTCATGTTTTTTTTAAAATGTAGCTTAATATCTTGGCAAAAGTCAAAAGCTGGTAGTTTACTTTTTTTTGAGGCAGTGTCTTTCTGTGTAGTTCAGGCTGGCCTCAAACCTGCAGCAATCCTCCTGCCTCAGCCTCCTGGGGGCTGGGATTATAGGCATGCACTAGCATACCCAGACTTGTTTTTTCTGTAAACTGCTCCACAAAAAAACGGTGTTTCAGACTTCCAAAGTGACCACTATGGGTCCATCTGTACTGTAAAACTGGCTAGGAATGCACTCACTTAGCGTAATACATCTCTGCTTCTTCACTATCCCAGGCAGCCCACGGTTGCGCTCACCAACCTGCCTCTCCTTAAGCTGCAGTACCCCCCAAGAAGGTGCCTCTCTCACCGGAGGGCTCCCAGAAGCCCTCAGAGGACCTCTGTAAAGTCCCTAAAGAGAGGATCTATTATTCTGGAATTTGCCAGTGCAGCATACACTGGACTGGGCAAACACTGGTCATTTTTTTAAAAAATATGACCTACCAGGCAGGGCAAGCTGAGAAGCAGCCACACTCGTGGCTGGGGGATTCCACAACCTCAGAACCGGAAGCCTCACACAGAATAAAGTGAACAGAAAAAAGGTCCCCACCAGAGTCCCCAAGAGATACACACCAACACCCCACCCCACCCCGGCTGCCAACACCAAGACGGTCCACCTTTCTCTGATTAGGTCACAATTCTAACACAATCTTTTTCTTTTCCCCGAAGGAGGATTTTTGACAAGATGTTAGGAAACTGCATTACCTGTAAAAACCCTTGAGGTTCACTCTGTCCTTTACCAGCTCAGCTGCCTGAAGGATAATAATATTCCTCAGCGCTCTTCCTGCACAAGACGAATTCTCTCCATAAATCTTAACCGAAAAGACAGACGAAAATGTACGTTAGTATAAATGTAGAATGACGACGAGACAATTGGTGAGCTCCTGATGTCATGATGTACACCAAAGATCATGACCAAATCTCCAAGCTTAAGGTACATTTTAGCTTGTGTAACTACAGACCTATAATTACCTTATTTTATTTGAGTACTGGTACACTTATGCCATTAAATTATAATAATTGTTTTCCAAATGCTAAAGTGCTTCACTTAAGCTGTAATTATAAATAAAATCTTTTAAACACAAAGTTTTCAATGTAAAATATTGACTATTTTAAAATACAGCCAGGCACGCTGGTGCACACCTACAATCTCAGTGCTTGGGAGGCTGAGGCAGGAGGACAGCCGTGAATCTGAGGCCATCCTGAGCTACATAGTGAACTCAAGGCCAGCATGTACTACACAGTGAGACCTTGTGTTACACAGACACACAAAAAATCGTGTTTCTATTGCTGCAACAAACAGAAGAGCGTATTTATAGCGCACACTAATTCTGCCCTGCTGATATTGTGTCCATATAGAGATCTTGGGAAATATGAAAACAATTTTCCCCTCTTTAGTGAGCATCTTGGACCACATTACGCTGGACAGCAGGCTGACTTCTCTCAAGCTCTGCTTAACTGCCAAAGCTCGCAGTTAATCCCAAGCTATTTAGTTTCACGGATAGTACTTCACGATTCCATCCACCAGATAAAACTTTCATTAAACCTTTTTTTTTTTTTTTTTTTACTCCTGATTCTCCCATATAAGTCTCTCGATTCTTGGGGATGAAGTAGAGTACTCTGCAGCCCTCAAGGAGTCTAGGTCCTCCTGTGTAAAGTTACTCCTCCTCTGCGCATCCTCCAAAGCACAACAATGGGCCTTTATTTAGCAAAGGAGGCTAAGTAAAACCGAGCCACCTCCAGAAGACAAATACTTGTAAATTAATATAGATTGAGTTGTTTTGCTTTGCACTGCTGTGTTTGAACCTGGGGCCTCATGCACGCTAGGCAAGCACGCCACCCTGCATTATTCTTCCAGTTCCTGGCTATCTTTACTCAGAGAAAACACATTGATGATATATTATGATTTGATGGGGAACTTGTCAAACCCAACTTTATGCTTTTTTTGTATGACTTGATGTTGTTACCTAAATACAACATGATGAGAAAGCGAAAAGGGCAGGAAATGATTCTTATTTATTTATTCTCTGAGACAGAGTTTCACAATGCAGTCCATGCTGGCCTTGAACTCACTTTGTAGCCCGCCCAGGCTGGCCTCAAACAGTGATCCTCCTGACTCAGCCTTCCATGTGCTGGGATTACAGATGTGAACCACCAGATATGGCTGGAAATGATTTATTTTTAACACATTAAAGTCTTTTTTTTTTTTTTTCAATCAAAGCTTGAATAATCCAGATGATGAACGCATTACAAGGAAAGAAGTGTGAGTCAGCTGACATCTGACTAGTCCTAAAATCCTCCAAGATTCACTCGGTCATTCAAGAGGCATTTCATGAGCAGTTGCCATGTGCCAGGTCCTTTCTAGATGCTGGGGTTACAGTGGGGAGCATCATAAGAAGGTTCTTGCCTTTAGAAATCTCAGTCTTCTGTTATCCTAAAGAACATAAATGTCTGTTGCCCGATTTTTTTTTTTTATGCAATACAATGTAGATATACTCATGTGTTCTTACCAGTGAACACAAAGGGATAATCCTTTACTAAACAACTCTAAATATACATCAACTTTCTAGTGTAAATGATCCACTATGTGTAAAATATGATGTTTCTATCAAGAAGGAAAACTGAGTAATATATTACTTTAATGTATTACATTTACTCTGCCATACTAACAATGCACTCATATAAAAGATGTGGAAATGGGAATATACATATATATTTTTTTCATATCTTGCAAACATCTTGAATGATGATACAATGATCAAAACATCCCAAACATCTTGGTTGTGTCGTCCTTGGTAGGTGAGACAGTGTGATCACTGCAGCATTCCTGTGAAGCCCCAGGAGGAGCAGAGGTAATAGCTATAGCTTGAGTATTCTGAACCAGGACTTGTGAACTTTTGTTAGAGAAAATACAGTAAAAGAGACAGAAAGAAAAATAATCATACCTGGGAAGGTGTATGTTCAAGGTATGGATTGGAAATTCTTCGTGACAGAGTCTATTAAAAAGAAAACAATGGAAATCAGAATCAAATAGAAACCTTTGTACCCAAACAGCAAATACACACATCAGTAGCAGGCCCAGGGAGTGTCCAGGCCAAAAAGTGGGTTGGAATCTCAAGTCCTGGGCTGTCCACATTAGCCTCTTTCTCACAGTGGGCAACTATCTGCTCAACACTCATGCAGCAGGACAGGGCATTCCACTAGAACAGCTCCCAACCTAGAGAGGCAACCAATGAAATCACAATGGGGAGTAAGGAGGAGGAGGAGAAAGAGGAGGAGGAGGAGGAAGAAGAGGAGGAGGAAGAAGAGGAGGAGGAGGAAGAGGAGGTAGAGGAGGAAGAGGAGGAAGAGAAAAGCACAATGGAAAGATCAGAATTTTGTGCACGACACTTTATCATTAATGTGACTTGAATTCCACTTCTTTTCCTTTCCCACTTTCACCACTCTCAGCCCTTAAGGCACTGCTATCTACCTCAGCTGCTGCTTCAGCTTCTCTAGGATGTCCCTATGCTCAAACCACGTGCTCTAAGCCATCCGCCAGTCTCAACTAAGCGAATCTCCTGAAACCTCTCCCTCTTAGAGCAGATCCCTTCTTACTTATGCGAGTCAACCCAAGCTCCCTAGCTCCACTATGATCTACCTCCAGTGGGTTTCTAGAGTTCTCTCTCCACCTCCCTATCAGGGTCCTCCTACAACTGAGCAAAATCTATTTGTTAGAAGAGTCTGTCACTCATATCCCTGCCTTGGGTCACCCCATTCTCCATGTTCAAGCTCTCATGCCTTGACACTTCACTGAATGCCACTCAGAGCCCAGATTTGTGCAGTCACCTCGGGGTGAAGCTCCCGCCACACTGTTTGGAGTGCCTGACTTTGATGTTATTCTGTGGCAGTGCCTGTTTTTCAGTCTATGCATTCACCTCAAGGAACCCGTACATTTCTATAGTGAACTTGGTGCCTTCTATTGCTTTGCTTGCACAGCATATAGCAAAGGACCTTTATAGAGGTATTTCTTTTTAATATTTATTTATTTAGCTATTATACTTCCACTAAGTACATGCTGAATGGGTTGACTTGTGGGAGCTAATTTTTCCTACCCAATAATCTAGTGAGCGGCACCATCACCCACATGTGCTTCAAGCACAATGGAAAACTATTATCACTTCCCATTGCAGTACTGGAAAAAGAACAGAGGAACTAACACTTACTGAACTTTCAACCTATGTTTAAAAGCTCCTTACACATCCTAGCCAAGCCTTGCTGTCTTTTGAGATTCCAGATTTTAGCCTGCTGCCTCCCCTTCTTAAAATAATTTGCTAAATTTATGAAACATACCCTACCAGTCATCACTTCTGGTTTCTGAATCTTCTACCAAGTCTGGCCTAAAAAAGTGAATTTTCCTTGTGCCTCATCTTCCTTCCACATAGCAAATACACCACTCATCTTTTAATTAAACTGAAATAACATGTATCAATTCTCTATCCAGAAATGTCAATGAATATTCTGTTCTTAAAGATTTGCCAACTTATTTCAAAGAAAATAATTGTTTTAAGGTAGACATCCCATTTTTAAGCTCCATCCTTTTTTGCTAGTCTAGTTGCCCCTTCCTGGACTTCTGTCATCCAAGCCTACGTAATGCATTCCCTTCCCGAAATACTGAACATCTGAAAACTTGCATATGCACCAGATTGATAATATGAAGATCAATCATCATAATAAGTTATTTTTCACCTAACAAGAAGAATTTTAAAAATCAATATGGCAGATCAGAATCAACTCTCTTTGTTACTTATCTAAATACCAAATTTAGTAAAAACAAATAAACAACACCCCCCTCCCAAAGTAAGTACTTTGCATGATCTAGTTCAAAAGAAAACGATTAGATAGCTAAATTCTAAAAGAACTGGGCAGAACCATTTTCACAAAAGGAAACAAAAGCACTTGTCTTTCTCTGTACTGCCACCCTCAATCTACGATCTCCACACTAGTGTTACACTCACACAATCCTACCTAACAGAAACTTCCCCCATGGAGGGCTTGTTTCAAAAGACTGGTAAGGTGAGTAGATAAAGCAATGGGATCCTTCTATAGAATAGATAACACTATTAGATAAGCTCCCATGCCCCAGAGGGTGGTGGACAAGAGCAAAATAGTAAAAGCTGTCTTTTAAAGGACACGATTCCTAGATTTGTTGTCAAACTCCAAACCCTCTCTTCACTGCCCCAGGGGAGCTGCATTTTATTAACACTCTAGGATAGCAGTTCTCAAACTTGCTCACTCGGTTCAGAGGAAGCCACAAAGCTCTTTGTGGATCTCAGTAAAGTACTGACCTCTTAAAATAACTCTCCTAACTGTGTCTGTACAGACCATTTTCAGTACTGACCAAAAATAGCATGGACCACAGGTTTAAGGGAATAAAAATTGACAGGGATTATCCCACCCAACACCTCATTTTTAACAGGTACCAGGAAAGAATTGTTATTTAATTTCAGGACAGACGCACTGAGGACCAAGACTGCCACTCAAAACTACCTACAGGGCAGGGCTGCTGTCCTGCATTTATTTGCAAAAGAGCAAGAAGAACAGCCTAGAAAACGCACCCTTCCCTCTGTTAACATTCTTTCCTCCAATAGTATTAGCAGTTTTCACCCATCACTGAGCCCCCGGGTTTTCTCCTCTCAGGAGTCCAAGGCATTGTCTTGCCACACCTGTAGCAATTTGCTTTCTACTCATTCCATATTTATGAGGCACCTACTGAATTCTTGGTCAGGCACTGTGGGAACTTCATAAGCAGACGCAAGACCAAGAAACCATCTCTACTTACAGAACTCCTTTATTAGAAAACATAGAATTTACTTTAAAGCCATAAATTATTTCCTCATCCTGATGGTCTTACTGATACGCTCGATATTGCTGCATAGTCTATCAAAGCCAAGCATCCTCTCCTAAAAGGCTCACCATAATATCACATAACAACAAGGTACAGATAGGTGATGATTCATCTTTTTCTCTTTATTTCCAATGCTTAGAACTACTTAATTTGGGTGCATCGATTATTTTATAAAAGACATATATATCCCAATGAGAAGAATATTAACAACATGAATGGAAATAGACTTCAATTCGAATTTATTTCTTCTTTCATTTTAATGAACCCTGGAAAATGATTCTCCAAATGATTCTAGGCAAACTTCTTACTTTAAACATTTATTAGAAAACTTCAGTCCTTTAATATTCACAAATGAAGTTCCATAAAAAAGAGTGATATGATTTAGGAATATAATTGAGTAGCAGCCATACTACCTTCTAAAAAAAAGAGTTGGTATCCCTTCAAATTAAACTGTAATAGACCACGAAGCTGGGTCTGAACCAAACACGGAGCTCAATCTAGAATTCCTAAAAATATCTTGCAGAACAATGTAACAGATGTAAGGCACACATTTCACCAGCTTGTAAAGGAGATCCCTTAATATCACCCTTAGATTCACTTACTTAGGTTACTAAAAGGGAAAAATAAAGGAGAAAGACTGAGTCATTTCAACTGGCACAGAAGGATGACATAACCTGCTACTAACAAGAGCCAAAAAGAACTGCCAGGTGTATTAATAATGCAAGCATTTGTTTCATTATACAATTTTGTGTCACCTTTAGCCACTTGCCCTTT